TCCACCTCCTCTCTGTAGGCCTTGTGGTTGTCGTCCCTGATTAGGCCCACCACTGTTGTGTCATACACAAATTTCACAATGCAGTTTGTTGCGTGCCTTGAGGCCCAGTCATGTGTCATCAGGATGAACAACAGAGAGCTCAGGATGCATGTGATCATTTTTATTGTGAGCACGCTTTGCTCACTTGATGGCATGGTTCAAGTTGTCTCTCGTTGTTCTCAGTGCCTCCTTGAAGGCAGACTTTCATGCTTTTAGCATCTTGCTTACTTCTGCAGTCATCCAGGGTTTCTGGTTGTCTCAGGTGATGATGGTCAATGTTTTTGTGATCATTGTAGGCAGCTGTCTTAAACATGTGTCGACCAGAAATAAACTGTCTCTATGAGCATGTTCACGCTGTTGACAATGCTGATATACAAAACACTCAGAGACTGTGTGGAGGTCAAAGCTGAAGAGGAGGAGAGTGGGCTTCTCTCCTGCAGAGCAGACAGTGTTCCACTCAAAGACCTCAGACAGCAGAGCTGGAGTGTGTAAGGAGGATGAGTGTGTGTGTGTGAGACTGTTAATTTTCTTTTGTATCACATCCTTGACTGCTAAGCTATAAAAAAAGCAGAAAGCCCTCACCATCATTCAGCAGGATACCTTTCTGTGTTGTTATCTGGGATTGGACAGGAGGCTCACACAGAGCCTGTTAGACCATAGATTGCTCTGATCGAGTCATGGTGGCAGCCGTGTCTGTGGTTTAGAGGCTCATCCAGATTCAATAGCAGAGATTTCAGTCTGGATTTATGCCTCTCTTACTGCCGAGGCTCCTTACTCTGGAGCAAAGGTAAACCTGAATGAATGATGGTGTCAGGGAGCAGACTTCTTCTCTCCCTCTCAGTCAACAGGACCCTGAGCTGAGCAGGCTGACTGTGCTGTGTGTTTCATGATCACTCTGCAGAGCTTCACCTGAGTGTGTGAAGACCATTAACAGAGTCATTAGAGGTGCAGGGTTTATGCTCAGACCAAAGGTTTCAGCAGGATTTATTCTTAAGACATGCTGAGAATGATAAAAGTGTTTCAGCAACTATATGTTGAAAAAAACACCATTTACCTCTCAGTTAAGGCTATATCCTAATACAGAGTAAAGTGTTGTTTTTCTGTCAGACACTTCTAAAGATGTAGATATGCAAGCTTACAGATGTAGATTTACTGCAGATAGAGGTAACAGATGTATCTTTGAATTGTCATTCATGCAGAAATGTTCTCTTTCACTTCTTTTTAGTCAAAGTAGTTCCCTCTGAAGTCACTCACCTTAACAAGAAAAGGGCTGAAAAGTTACTGAAAATCTTGGTTACATATAAATCTAAACCTAACATACAACAACAGCTGTTTTACACATCCTAAATACCTCCCCAAAGCAGAGCCCTGTGTCTATGATTGTGACTCTGTGTGCATTTGGAAACACACAGAGCTAATCTATGAACCCACCAGAGGAAAGCAGTCAGGTCTCCATCTGCCTGCTTTTACATGGACAGCTGTGTGCTCACTGCAGCAACCAGCTTAGTAACATCCTATACCTGACTGCCATATGGCCCAGCCAGCACCTCCGCCACAGAGTCCATTTACAGGAATAAATGAGACTCGTTAGTGCGCCCAGTTGGCATACTCAAAAAACAGAATCTGCATTATTTAGCAGAAAATGAACTGTGTGTTTTTTTTTTCCTCTGCAGTGATGGATGAGGCAGCTCCCTCTGATGAGGATTATAAATCACCTCATCCATTTGGTCTGCTATGTGAATGTGCAGAGAGAAACGAGATCTGGGTTCACTATTTTGATGTTTCACGGATAATGTTCAACCAGAGCCTGCATGTCAGAAGAAGAGGATAATCCTTTTTATAAATGAAGCTTGAGGTGAAGGTTCCAACACCTGCAGTCCTCTCTAGTTCAGAATAACACTGTCCTGGTAGACTAATAAAACTTCCAGCCTACGGCTTCGTCTTCCTCTGCTCTAATGAAGGTTCAGGGTGGTGTTTGTAATGGGTGATTAGATTGTATTAGTTTTTATGTTTGATCTTAATGAGGCCGCCTCACCTGCTCATCTATCCTGAATGTTTTGTTTTGCTCTTTAAGCTAATGCCTTATACAGAGTATAAACCTGCTGATGGTATTCAGGTGTGCTCGATTTCATTTCTCTTATGTTTTCTCTTACCTTGAGTCGATCTGTGCTTTAAGACTCAAAGAATTTACACTGTCCAGATGCAAATGGATTTAATCGTGAGCAGTTCAGAGGTACAACTTCAATTCGCCCTCCTAACTTTGCAGAGTTGGTAACCTCAATTTCATCCATCAATCTTTGCGCCCCTTTTAAAGTCAGCAGCTCAACAATGTTTTTACAGGAGAATATATTCAGCTTCCCTGCAGCAACACAGTGAGCACAGCATGCAGCTGTAAAATCAGAGTTATTACTTTGGTAAAAACCGGTGGCAGTTCAAAAGAAAGTGGGAAAAACTGTCACTCCTTCATCACTTTGAAATTTTTACATGTCAAAAACTGAGCTAACTTTAAAAAGGACCTTGACAAAAGGGCAATTTGAAAATGTCTCCACATTTCCCTCTGCAGCTCACTCTGCACCTGTGTTACCTGAGGGTGGTGGTTAAAGCTCTGCTGCTGACAGGTTTTGAATAAAGTGGCTCTGTGGGTCTGTTATTGCTCTGCAGCCTGTTTGTGTCATTCAGTAGCAGCTGCTCTCTCCAAAACCTCTCCCTCAGCCTCTGCTGGGTTCACCAGAGTCACACCATTTCTTCATCTCACTTACTGAGGTCAAAAGACACTCAGACACTTACCATGTGATCAGACTGAACATCACATACACACCCTTTCGTTATTCATTCTTTGTTCCAGGACACAAATTTTCTTTGCACTAACATTTAAAAGGAGAAATAACATGAGGAAAATAATGCTGTCAATCTAAAAATATATACATGATTTTTTTGTTAGAACAAAATAAATCAGATATGAACCTAAGAGGTGATCCTCTGTTTTATTGATTTCAATAGCTGCGTTTCCTTTACATTTTTTCGCAAAATAAAAGCGATGTTAATCAAATTTCGATAAAGTACAATTGCGATTTACGGGTGTTTTCATTGAATGGTGTTCAGTGCATAAGCGAGCCGTCTGCCTCTCGCGAGCCGTGTTTGAATGGCTGTTGCCTAGCAACGAGGTAAACTTCCTGCCCGTGCGACCTCGTATTCCTTAAGCCTTTTTGCACACCAACATGGAGGACATACAAAACATTTTGCGTTTTGGAGCAGCTATTACCGTGAGCATTACTACTGTTGCCGCTGCTGTCATCAGAAGACGAAGGCAGCGGGTGATAATTCAAAGTCAAAGCCTGTATGAATGGGAGCGGACACGGATAAGGGATTTCTGGGAGAGGATCGTTAATGGGGAATTCACAAACGAATTGTGGATTCAAAACTTCAGGATGACCCGGGAAACGTTCAATGAACTGTGATGCTATTGAGCCTCTTGTGGCACCTGCCATGTCAAGCCCCCGGGAGGCAGTTCCCACTCGGAAGCATGATCACATGACCCGCTACGTCACGTCCGGTGATGTAAAATTGCGAGAATAGTGTTTCCATTACACTTTTGCGATATACCTCTATATCGACACATCTGAAAAACCACCTCATGAGAGCGTAAAAACTTTTTAGCAATATATTTGTGGTTTTTCGAAATTTAGGTGTTTCCATTACTGTAATTAATTTTCCTGTAAAATAACGGTAAGATACTGGCAGCTAGAGTTGCCAGCATCTTACTGTTATTTTACAGATCCTCTACTGTAAGGTAAAACTACAGCTTCTTGCTGTAAAAATTATTACAGTAGTGTGCTGTGTATAATGCACCTTTTACAGTCAAATACTTTTTACACCTTTACTGCATTTACTGTTATATTACAATAACTACCGTATTCCAGGAAACAACATTACTGTTAAACCTTTTTAATGTAATATTTACAGCTTGAGAACATGAGATGACTTTATAGCATAGAGCTTTTATTAAATTCAGTTTCAAATCCTCCATCACTTAACACTGGCTTTAACTCATGTGAATTCACCTCATCAAGATAGACATTACATAACATTTTGAAGCTGATTCAAATACATTCAGCACTTACAGGGATAATTCAGATTTTTTGATCTTAAGTTGTATGAGCTCCTCTCCATCAGTGTGGTTTATCAGCAGTGACTATTCCCCCACTGCATCCTATGAGCGGAGTACCGGTGTGGTTTCAGACAGACAGAGGGTAGTTCCACATAGTTGCTTGGTTCACACAGATAAAGCATTTTGCACCAAAAAACAACATATTTTCAAATGAGTTATCCATTTGCAACACAAATTCATTGCCGTGAAAATGTCTGACCTCTCAATCTCAAGGCACTATTTTCCCTCTGTTCACATCACTGCGCAAACCATCATCAGTGTGGCAGCAGTCTCCTTCCGCCTCTTTCCTCCAGCTGATTGAAAGGTGCGCACAGTGATACGAACAGAGGGAAAAAAGTGCCAGGTGATGGAGAGATCAGATATTTTCATGGCAATGAATTTGAGATGCAAATGGATAGCTCATTTGAAGGCATGTTGTTTTTTGTTGCAAGATGCTTTATCTGTGTGAACCAAGCAACTATGTGGAACTACTTTCTGTTACACCGAAACTGCACCGGAACTAGTCATTGCTGATAAACCACACTAATGGAGAGGAGCTCATACAACTGAAGATCAAAAATCCCTTTAAAACATTTTATAAGAACATTCAAATAAAGTTGTCAAAAAATATTGTTGGGTTCCATACTCTGACCCTGTTTAGTGCAAAATAAATTACAGAAGGAGTGAACAAACAAGCTCTAGCTGCACCACTGAGACTGGAATGAAACACTGAATACAAAATTCCTGAGACTGTTTGACTGCACCCGGCTGGAGTGAGAACCATCGTGAAGACCTCAGTGCACATGTGTTTACTTTACATGAAGCCCCATTCAAAGTCCACCAGGTTCTTAATGAGGGTAGCCACATGGGGATTCACAGTTGCTCCTTTTTTTTGAACAAGCTTTCCAGTTTTCTTGGACGTGACCTTCCCCCGACTGGCCTTTGTCCCCCTCTCTGGATTGATACCCACGAAGCGCCTGAAGTGTGATAACAGATAAAGCACGAGTTATTAGGTGTGGTCAGTGGGATTTTTGCAGAACCCCATCAAGTGCACAAAATTTATATTTTTTCATTATTATAACAATACCTTACATGACGCAGACATTTTTGAGCACATTAACTTTTTAGAACAACAAGTTCATTTGGAACCAATAGACTCATGTCATATATACTTTATGTGGCACACTGAACCACTCAACCACCAACTGGTTAGTTCCAGGTAAACTTTTTTTGTGAAAATGGAGAGTCCATTTAAACTGTGGTATTACTTTGAGATGGGAGGTCTTGTAGGAAGAGAAAATAGCCTGTTTTAGTGGTACAATTAAACCGTGTTTGCAGGTGGTTCTGTGTTCTGTTCTGGTTCTTCAAATAAAATTGAACTATCCCTTTAACACATATACCAGCTCAATCTTAAATTCACCATCAAAAGGAACAAATTTAGTTGGAATGTTAATATAGATAATAAAGACTGATACACCTAAATGTTGCTCATAGTAAATGAAAATGTAACTTTCTCACGCAGCTTCGAGAAAAGGGACCATACATCCAAACAATATGAAAGAGTGGCATAGGAATTACCTTTGAATGAATTCTAGTGTCCTTTCAGCTTCCTCCTGGTATCGTAAGTTGAAGACGTAGTAGGTGGCAAATACCGCAGCCAGCCCTGCGATGAAGCCTGATTGAGGGCCTTCACATACAACATGGCTTTTAATGCTCAGCATCCAACGTCCTGATGCAACGTCATCACCAGCAACTGATGGAGACAAGAATTGAGGTTAAAAGGACAGTTCAGATTTTTGACATAAAGTTGTGTGAGCTCCTTTCCACCAGTGCGGTTACTCAGCAGTGACTTTTCCCCCACTGTGTCCCATGAGTGGATTTCAGCCCGGTTTGTCTGTAGCAGAAAATAATTCTGTTTAGTTGTTGAGGTCACACAGACAATATGTTTTACTCCAAAATCATGCATTCAAGAGTGATCCATTTGCATCCTGAATTCTTTGCAATGAAAAAGTCCAATCTCAGAATCACCCGGCACTATTTTCCCTCCATCACTGCACGCACCTTTCCATTAGCCACAGGAAGAAGTTGGATGGAGACCATGAAACAGCTGACGGTGTTGCGGGCAGTTAATACAAATGGAGGCAAAATATTGCTGGGCGATTGCGGGGTTGGATTTTTTCACAGCAAAGAATTCATGATGCAATAGATTACTCCTTTGAACGTGTGACGTTTTTTGGAGCAAAAGGTTTTATCTGTGTGACCCCAGCAACTAGACAGGACTACTTTCTGCAACGCTGAAACCGGACCTGGACTTGGCTCATGGGACGCAGTGGGGGAAAAGTCACTGCTGATGAACCACACTGATGGAGAAGAGCTCATACAACTTAATGTAAAAACACCCAACAATCTCTTGAAGTTGCAAAACATTATCAGATGTATTGTTTAACAAGAACCTATGTAGTCACTCAAGATATCACAATAGGTTACAATGAACTCAAAATTCTAAATGATACATTTATACATTTTTGCAACTTTATTTACATTTGGTATCATAAGTTATACTGCTACTATTGGGTATTTTCTCCTACAATGACAACACACTGCCACAGAAGGGCATAAGAAATTATTTTATCACTCAGACACAGACAGACAGCTATTAGGCAGACTGAACAGACAGACACAGACTGACTAACTGACACACATGACCAGATACTGACACTTACCGAGCAGTATTAGTCGTGGACTGGCTGGAAGGGTCAGGGTGCACTCAATATCAGCTGCAGTGGAGGACATCTGGATAATTGTGTCAGAAAAATGAATGATGTGTTTATAGCTAAATTACATACATACATTAAATAATGCTCCACAACACTTACGTCAGCAAAGAGTATCAGTCCTTCTCTTCTCTCATCAAAGTAGGCCATCAGCAGCTGGATGATGCTGAGAATTAACTCTCCCTCTTTGGTTTGGGAGACGATTGACTGTGCATCTTTATTCTTTGCTTTTGTCATTAAATACTTCTCAATCCCTGATCCACTTTCTTCAATAGATAGTTCCGAGGCATGTAAGACATTGATGCCTGTGAGTGATTCAAAATGGCTGTAGATTCCCCTTTGGGTGAAAAGGTAAGGCCACTGGATTCTCAAATCCTCAATACAAGGTGCTGGTGTTTGATTGATTTGGTTATGCTGCAGAGAGAACGTTGTTTTCATGAGGTTTACCACTTGTTGTTGCCGCTTCTGCTCCAAAGTCTCATCAGTTTCTTCGGGTAGTGGTTGAGGCTGAAATTGTACGCATCCATAAGAATCATTCCCCCCTTGTTTCCCTGACAGTCTTGATGAGCGATGTCGTTTGAATGTTCCTGCATGGGTGAGGTTCTCAATTCTTTTTCACTTGAGAAAGGAGTGAAGCAAAGCCGCCACCAATGATGACTCCTCCTGGTGTCATATCTGCAGAACTACTGGGATACTGCTTCACAATGTTGCGGCAGATGATGAGACATTCACTGCGTGTTGGGTTAGTGTCATGCTTCCTAATTTTGTCCACAAGGACTCTTATCATCTGGCGACGCTTGTCAGGAGCAGGTCTCTTGCTGTTAGCAACAGCTGACTGAACTTCTTCTGGCATTTTATCCCATGGCACTTGAAAGGTTTCGTACCAATTGGATTTGTTTGCATTCCGGCTTAGTTTTCTTGAGGTACATGGTGATTGTGATTCTGAAGAGCTTGACAGGGATGAACTTCTGGACAGTAAAGAAGAAGATGAACAAGGCACTGGACTGGAGAGGAAAGACTTATTTGTATCTGATGAGTCAAACGGCAACATTTGTGCATCTGGCAGGATTTGAAGATCAAGTGTGACTGTAGAGGCTTCTGTAACACATGACAAAAATACAGTTATTTTCACAATCTTTTCTAATGTGAAAATAATTCAAATAATAAATTGTGTTTGGATTTTGTCAAGACTACTTAGCCCAAATGGCTATTTAATTCTTCTGGACACAAAAACTACTGAGTGCCAATAGTTACCCATATGGAATGCCTGCAGAAGTTTCCTTTGCTGGATAACAGGCAAAAGGTCACCGATGTCATCTTGTTGTACATATTTGAGGTCTTCTATCAATTCCACACCCGAGCCTTCAAGTCTGGTGACAATCTGTTGTTGAATATCCTCAGACAGTCTGGGCAAAGCCCTGAGGATGACAGCCTTTATTTCATCCGAGATGGATGACATGAATCTAAAACGTGGGGACAGAGTGGTGAAGTGTAAGCAAAGACATACCCCAAACTGAATATTCTGGCAATGGGTAGTAATCAAGCAGCTCTTCTTGACTGACACAGTGGTATGCTTCCTGCAATGGTGTGGTGTGGTAAGCATTAAAGTAGGGTTGACGCAAAGCCTGGTATAACTCAGTGACAAAATACACAGCTGAATTCTTACGAATGACAGCCTTCTTGATTTTCCCCACAAGACCATCATCATTATGACTTATCACAACAAACATGTTACTCTGATATGTTGTTCCTTTTACTTTCACGCTATGGCTGACGAGGGTATTTGTAGGATCTAACCTCAGATGAGCGACTGATTGCCTTATCTTATCACTTTAGTCTTCAACAATATATTCAGTTCCCTTCTCTACGACAACTGATGGTGAGAACAGTGTACCAGCACTTAGAAAAGACTGCAAAAGCTGGTGTCTTTCAGCAAGTGTTCCACAGAGGTTTTTAAAGTTGTGCAGCTTTCTTGAGCACTGCTTAAAGTAAGTGTGCTTACTTTCAAATCGTAATGTCCACAGACGGATAAGTGGCCCAAAGTGAAAAATGAGTTCTGGATAATGATTCAGATAGTGATGCTTTGGTTTCAGTTGATGTTCCCCAAAAAGCTGCATTCTTCTATGTAAATATTCATCATTCATCATGAGTCCGCATGTGCCTAAAATATGGAAATGGATTCCTGCAGGTCTGACCACATATGTTGCAAGGTATCATCTCTACGGTTACTAATGGAGTTCTATAGCTAATTAATTACACCGGTTCAACACAATGATAACCATTAAATTTTACAGATTTAAAACCAAGCCAGTCATTGAACTATCCATCCACTGTAGGCCTATCTGTTTTACATATTTGACTCACTTTGTTGATGTTTTTTTTGGATTAACTGTCATAAGCAAGCATATTTCCTTTCACTTATGGAGAAAAGCAACACATCATTATTGAAAGAGGGGAAAGACAGAGGGAAAAGTTAGCTTTAGTCCCCTACTTTTATTAAACCGTGGTTGATTATGTCATTGAGGTAGTAAATTAAATTTTACGAATTTCACGTTGTAGAACTGCAACCCAGAGGCAGCTAAAACCTCATAAATTGACAAGCTGTTTATACTACACTGTGTCCAGTCCGCAGCTAGCAAGTTCGCCTCTGCTTCAACTAAAAATAACTGCTTAGTGCTAGCAACATACAGCTAGCGGCTAACAACGTGGCTAATACCATGTAACATCAAGGACTACTTTTACACCGTGCTCACCCCGTAATGTGGCGAAGGACAAGACGGATACATGTTGTGGCGTGTCGCCTGTTGTGCGCTTATTTTCACACAGACACGAACGTGTTGTGGCGTTTCGTGCAAGTTGCATTTAGTGTGCAATCTGTCTGGAGGCAATATAAACAAACCCAAAATATCTCAGCATGGTGAAACTTAATGTCAATAAAATCACAATTACCTTGTAAGATGAAGACTATAGCAGGATGGTGCGGTGGCACTGTTGAGGAGGAAGGATGAAAACTGCGGGTTGTCTCCGTTCACGTGCTGTACGGGTTAAGTGGGGGTTAAAAAAAAAGTTGCCTTCTGTTGTTTGTCTTTTTATTTTTTCCTTCTGTTTGGAAAAATAATCACTTACCTTTGGCGCATCAAGTTTATAGGTCCCGTTCAATGGACTTATCTTTTTCTGCGTGAGCTGGTGGGACTTGATGACAGAGGATTTTGCTCAGTTATGGGCAGACAGCAGTGGAACAATTTAAGGAAAATACTGCATGATACTGTTCGATTTTGCAGTTGCTTGCTGTTTTAACTTTGCTCCTTAAAGATGGCAAAATTTGCAGTAGTGTACTGTATTTACAAATAACAGTATGTTGCTGTTGAAAATTAACTGTTTTTTTACAGCAATTTGTTATTGCGATATTTAGGTTTTGCGCAAATCTATGGGTAATGGAAACGCAGCTAATGACTGTTTGAAGATCTGTGTTTTCTGCTTTTGACACCAGTGGGTTTTTTTTAAAGATTATGTGAAGTTCGATTTGCTGCAGCATCCAATCAGTGAGCTATATTTGACATGGGGGCGTGTTTGTCTGTTAGGGCTCCTCCTATGTATCCCAGGATGTCTTAAAATTTCATTCTCTCGCCATTTTCCTCAACACTCTGCTTGTCAAGCTAGCTGATGACACCTGAGTGAACTCTTCAAAACCCAAGTAACCCCCCCCCCCCCCCCAGCTCCAGTATTACACATCTTTACTGTTGGTTTGTCTGCTTGATCACTTCATCTATGTTTATTTAAAAGGCAGTCTTTTTTTCCATGGTCCTCATAATGGTCCTTGGTGAGTCTTTGCAATACTTTTAGAGCTGCAGCCGTAAAATACTCCAGGTTAATTTTACATTTTCGCACACACGCACGCACACACACACTTTAAGCTTTGTCAGCGTTTCTTTGGACACACACTTTTCCTTCCTTAAGATGTTGGAGATAGTCTAATTGAGAGGAGACTCTGAATGTGATTTTCCTCCTGAGGCCTTGAGTCTCTGCACTAAAAAGAAAGTCTGTCTGACTGTGGACTGATCTTAACTCATCAAAGGACTTCATTTAACTGATCTGTTCCTCTAAGAAAGCTTTTTTAGGTAATCAAGACTTCCTAAGACATGAACAATTCAACAGCTACCAGGACTGAAAGAAACAAAAAGAGAGAGAATATTTAAAGTTGATCCAGCCAGGAGCATCACAGTGGATGATGTCCTGTTTGCTTCAGACAGGTGAAAGAATCAGCAGCTCTTTTGGAGCTGACTCTATCTATCCCTACTGAAACAACAAGGATACTCTCTCTCTCTCCTGCTACTCAGAGCTTGATCGGCCAGGGTCGAGGTGTTTCCTGTCACTCTGATAGATTTCCACAGCTGACATCAGTGATCTGTCTTCAACCTGATTTGGATTGATGAATTCCCTCTCTGTTTCCCACAGGAGGAGGCAGCAGCAGCAGCAGCTCTGAGCTCATTCATTTGTCATGTAATAAGTGGGTGTTGTTCAACTTTTAGTATTTATCTCATATAACATGACAAGACAGATTGTTGCAGAGGAGTCTGAGACATTTGCATCATTTAAACAGCGTCATTTTGCTTGTAGATCTGAGAAAGACTGTTGAGGGGTCTGGCCCTCTCTGTTAGTGCTGGTCAGTGAGAACCAACTCTTACTCGTGGTCATCCAACATCAAAGCAGAAAACCACTGAGGGTGTGTCAAAGGTTTTGCCTGGAGTTCACATGTCGTGGAAGTGTTTGTTTCCCCCTCTGTTGGCACTATTTTAGATCATACTAAAGACAACCTAAAATATGTCTTTTAGCATTGCGTTTAACTCTTTCATGACAAGCTCTTATGGCCTATATACATCTGTGCTCTTCCAGTACAGTGGTTAAATTTCAATGGACTTCTGTCCCTTTAGAGCAGAGGTGTCAGACTCAATCTCAGAGGGCAAAATCTAAAATACAGTCTTTTCCGCCGGCCAAACAGGATGAGCATTTACTGAATTTCCTGACCATGTTTTATCATAAATACAAGTTTAAAGAACCAGACCTGCATTGTGGGACTTGTGGTATGAGTGGTGGGAGCGCTTTTTACTGATGATATTTCACTGGTGATAATCATATTGCGTACCAGGCATGGGCGGCGGGCCTTAGATTTGACATGTCTGCTTTAGAGGGACCAACAGTGTCTCCTCCTGCTCTCAGACTCACTTCTCTAACAGAGCTGGAATCAGATCCAATCTACATTTAAATTTATCCCTGCTGTGAGAGAAGTCAGAGCTCTGTCTGACACATCTGGGATGCTCTTCTCTCAAATGATGGAGGGGAGTTTACTGACATCTCTTTGATTACTGGAGTTAACTGGAGCTGTTAGACAACCACTGTGTCACTTTCACTGTGTGCTGCATAGAAAACAAATATTCATGCTGTATTTAACAAACTTTCATCATACAGAACCAACTCTATGTGACTAACGAATCTAAGGCTGCAACAACGAATCGATTAAGTCGATTCGTCGTGACGAAAAAATTCGTTGCCAACTAATTCTGTAATCGATTCGTCGGGTCTTTATATATGTCCATGGACACCGGCGTGTAAACATCAGCAGGACGCACAGAAAAGAAACAGCCATGGCCGAGGCAGTGGCTGAGAAAAACATGGACACAACCCATGGTGTGGGAAAACTTTACCAAGACTGAAAAGGAAGGCGTTCAGTGCAACATTTGCAAAGCCCGTTTTGCATGGCACGGGAGTACATCGATGATGCGTGAGCACAGGGCTCTCAAGTCTCACGCATTCAGCGTATGACACACGCATTCCCACTCGTTCACACGCTCACAC